TTTGAGACAGGTGTAGTTAAAACATGTTTCATGATCTATGCTAGTGTAGTTATATTGCAATTCACATTATTAAGTTTACGTTGATGGTGTCTTTTTTTCCTATTACAATTTAAAGTATACTGAGTTGTCTCCCATCGTATGATCAAACAAATTGGCTGCCTGGCGAAGGGAGCCATGCTTTTCTTCTAGTCCTTTGTTCGGTTTTTAATCCTATTATCTGAGGAAATTTCATCGTTTCGAATTTAAATTTTTATTATTCTTTGAGTAAACTGTTCCTTTTCTTAATAATACATGATTTAATTTTTATTTGTCAGTTATATATAACCTATATTGTCCTAGGTGTGTAGTAATTCTACAGTTTTAGTTTCCTAAGATTAACTATTTACCCTATTATTTAATTTTTTTTTTGTTAATGCTCATTAAGCATGAAATGTTATTATGTAGTTTTTCAAAAATATAATCCAAAAATAATATTTGATTTAAATAAATGTTTAAGTTACTTGATTTTATTCTGCAGTATAAATGTAACCTTTATTTCATATAACTTCCTCAGATTCTCTAATGTGGATAAATGATCTTAACCTAATTTTTGTTTCTATTATAATTGGAATCTTTGAGCTTTACTTATTTATTACATCATCTTATCGAATGTTAAGTTCTCTCCTGCCTCATAGCTTATTTTTTATTAAAATATTGTATTTTATCCCTATATTCTAACTTCTTTCGGAGGTATTATTCTCATCTGTTAATTTAGGTTTAGTTCAAGCTTATAATACAGCCATAAATGGATATTCTGGTATGATGCATGTCATTTATGTTACTGTTATTACTAGTTTCTTCACTACACTCATTTTCAAATAATCTTTCAATATTTAGATATTTTCATGTTAATTAAATAACAGTTAGCAATTTATAGGCATTTTATTTTTGTTTAATGTTATTTAGCGTATTCATCATTATAGATGGATCTTTTTTTAAATTTTTTAATTTAAATTCAGTTCCTTTCATTAGGACCAACACCATGAATATTTTAAACCTCAAAATGTATACATGAATTTTTTAGATTATTTATTTAGTAAATCAAATAGAATGCCAATAGTATATACTATTGTATTGATTATTATAGTATAGTACTGCAGTATTAATTGTTATTTTTTGTATTTATTTATTTTCATGTTTTAGTCAATGCTTTGGTAAGACACTAAACAAGTTTCAAGGTGTTGATCAAAATGGTTATGGACCGACCCATGGTTAAGTCCACAGAGTGTAGGACGAGAGTTCGTGAGGCAATATTATACACTTCTGAATGAAGCTCCAGCTCATTTACACAGGTATTTCAGATTTCTCATAATTAGTATCAATTGAATGAATTTTGAATATTTTACATTAAATATTGAAAACTGCCATCCATGTGTTCTTTATTGATCTATGGAGTACACATGCTAGTTTATTGTTTAACTCACATTAATATGTTCCCATTCTTTTTTACTTACGCCTTTTTATGTTCTAAATCAATATAAATTTTTACTTACAAAAATCACTAATTAATGAAATATAGATATATTTTTATTGGATGTGCTTTTCACTTTTTGCTTAACATTCTGGTTTTCGCATTTGGGTACCTTGAAAGAACGGTAACCCTGTTTGGATATATTTAAAAACACTATTCCGATAAGGCTTACAATATTCAACTAATTATTTGTAAATTATTATTTTTGTTGAATAACTAGTAATACAGTATCTTTGAACTTTGGTTTAGACGCCCAGATAAAAGAACTTTTGTTTACTCATGTTGAAGATGATAGTTTAATAGAAAAAGAATTTGACGAGGTAGACACTTATAAAGAAAAATGGCTTTCAGCTGTCTCTATGAAAGATAAAGTAACTATTAAAAGAACACAAGATTCAAGCAATGTATCAGAATTGAGATTAACCAATAAGAAAAGTTATAGGTTACCGAAACTTGAGCTGAAAAAGTATGATGGCAGTCTTTATTGGATAAGTTTCTGGGCCATGAGAACTTTTTGAAAGTTTTCCTCCATCATCAAAGAATTACCCTAAGGTAATTGAACAATTAAAAAACAGATTCGGTAGGGAAGATTTATTGATACAACTTTACGTCAGGGAATTACTTGGTTTAGTCTTGAACCAGGCTACACATAAAGGTAATATGACTCTCATCTTGAATCAGGCTACACATAAAGATAATATGACTCTCACTTCTTTACACGACAAACTAGAATGTCAGTTAAGGTCTCTAGACACTTTAGGCGTAACCACTGATAAATGTTCATGTATGCTTATACCTTTGGTTGAATCAGCGCTACCAGAATCAACTCTTAGACTTTGGGAAAGGTATATGGTAGTGAACAAAATTGACATAGAGAAGGGTTTCGATGATATGTTACTATTTTTACGTGATGAAGTGGAAAGTTAGGAGAGGATCTTGTTAGCGAAATCTGTTTTTCCAGATTACAAGTCTAAGATGACCTTTACAAGAGACATAAACAAACATGACACCAAGGTAAATTACATCCCAACTTCTTCAGACCTTGTAAGCGTCACTAGATCTAAAGAAAATTGCGTTTTTTGTAACAAAGGGCATGATTCTCTTAATTGTTTTCAAGCACAAGACCTCGATCTTGATTCTATTAGAAATATTTTGAAAAAGAAAGGTTATTGTTTTTCCTGTTTAAGAAGAGGATGCATGAAGAAGCAGTGTAAGGCGGCGATTAGATGTCTGCTATGCAAAGGTAAGCATGTTACATTATTGTGTGAAAAGCGAAATGGACAAAATGCAGAGAACAGGTAAGTTAGCTCTGTTTCAAAAGTAGAATAATGTTTGACGAACATTCTTAATAGTGAGATATATTTAAAAACCTTGAAAATAAAGTTAAAAAATGATGAAAAGGAATACCCTTGTCATTTATTTTTTGATGATGAATCGCAAAGGTCATATATCAGTAAACGAATGGTCTCTCTTTTAGGTTATGAACCTGTTGGTACACAAACTATTGTTCATGGATAGTTTGGAGGCAGCAGATCAAAGCCTGAAGATTACAGTATTTACAAGGTAAGAGTGGCAGGTGCAATTACCTATTATGCTTGTAATTTTGAGGCTCTGGATAAAGAAACAATTTGCGAACAGTTACCTGTTATCAATCGATCTGGACCCTGGATCAATGAATTGGTAACGTTAAATATTTCTCTTACAGACACAGAGTATGGTAACATTGACATCCTTGTGGGTGCAGATATCTCTGGAAAGTTGTTAACAGGAAATCGAAAAATTCTGAAATGCGGCCTTGTTGCAGTTGAAACATATCTTGGTTGGACACTGATGGGGAAGACCAAGGAAGAAAACTACTGTGCAACTGACAAGGTCAGTGTTACCTCCCTAGCTGTTATAAAACAGATGTTAATTATTGTTAGTTAGATAAATTGTGTTTTATAAAACTTTGCTTTGTAAAATTTGCTGAAAAATAGTTTTGTGTTTGTTTTTTTGAAATTGCACTCAGTCACTACTTTATTTACAAGTTCCCATTGTTACTCATCTTTTGTAGTACGAGAAAGTAAAATTAATTACTTTGTAGTTTGTTTGGCAGCTGTCTTTATTATGTTTATTAGGTCAACTCTATTTGTATGAGGGCTTTCCCCAAAAACTGATAAATAAATAAAATAATACTCACCTATTTCAAAATAGTTCAATTTCTAACCCAACCTTTTTTTTTATTGATTTTTTATTTGTTCTTCCCTATCTCGCCTTTTAGGCTATACGGGATTTTCCCGGGCCGGGGGGTAAGGGCGGGGAATTTAAAATCCCCTCCGGCACCGGGACGCTAACCCAACCTATGGATGCAGATTAATTAAAAAAACTATTAGAGGCATTCAATCAACAACAAGCTATGATTCAACAACTTGTTACCAGTCTTGCTCCAGATATGACAAATAATTCAGATTCTTTACATACTCAGCCATTTGAAAACTTAGATTTGAGAAGAAAGAAAATTGTCTTGTTATAAGCAACATAGCCAATATGATATAATTTCCAAACAATTGAAATTTTTGAAAGAATATATTATTGATGCTCTATGTAATAGAAGAAAAAGAGGCCTAATAAACGGCATCAGCAGTGCAATCAACTGGCTTATCAAACCTAGAATCTAATGACAAAGAGCATTAGGAAGGCCATTATCACTCTACAAGAAAACAACTATCGTATGGAACACGATATAGCTCATGAAATTCAAATTAATAAATATTTAGTAAAATCGTTTCAAAAGGACATTAGGATTAATTAATAATAATAATAATAATAAATTAGCCAATTTAATAAATACTGTAACAAGACCAACCAATTTAATAAATAATAATAACAAGACTACAGTGACAAACCATTTAAATGAATTAAATGACATTCTAAATTATAACACTATTATAATCATGGATATAGAAAATTCTTTACAAATGAAGGAATAGCACATTCCATTATTTTGAAAAATATTGATATAAACAATAATTAAAAATTTGTAAGCTCTGATCTTGTGACATTATGGCTCATAAGTAAAATATCTTTTACTTTATATTAGTAAAATAAGATTAAAACAATATTATTCATTATATGATAAATTACTCACTAAAGCTAAAACTTTTAGTACTTTATATTTATTATCTGTTCCAGTAAGAAAAAAACGATCATATTATAACAACTATTGTAAATAATCAAATTGTACTATATAATAATGCATAAGTGTATAAAGGAGAATGTAATTTTATAAAAACTAACTATTATTGTAATAAAATTTATAAACTAACAGATACATGTATAAATAATTCTATTCATAATAATTTAAATAATTGTTTAACCACAACTATTATCAATTTAGCACCCTATATATCTTATGTAGACACAATTGATGTTTTTGTTAGTTTTAAGATTGTACATGTTACTATCTAAAATAATATATCCTATCCAATAATTTTACGTTTCACATCTCTGAATGAAAATGATTAAAACAAACGCAAGGAAGAAAACCGGATTGTCTTTCATGGCTATGACTTGGCGAGGACACGCAACAACAAAATATGCAACATGGAACGTAAGGGGTCTAACTGGGAAGGGGATGGATCTGGTGGAAGAAATGGAGAGGACCTCATCGAAGATAATGGCGATCACCGAAACAACGAAGAAGTCAACAGGCTGCATACACGTTGGTAATGGGTTTGTGCTAATTTACTCTGGAGTAGCAACCAACAAGAGAGCTAAAGGAGGAATAGCATTTCTTATTCATAGGGACTTCACAAGGAATATTGGTGGTTGGAAGAGTATTAATAAAAGGATATTGATTTTGAAACTAAGAGATCAGGAAACCAAGGAAAATTGTACATTAATAGGGATGAACTGACCTAATGAGGATGAACTGACAGAGGTGAAAGATATGTTCTTCGAAACGCTGCAAAAAGCAATGGACGATGAAGATGGAAATCTAATGCTGCTGGGATACTTGAATGGAAGAGTGGGTAGATTTCAAAAGTCTTGAAAGAGTGCTCGAACCATATGGAGAAGAAGTTAGGAACAACTAAGGACAGAGGATGTTACAATTCTGCGTCGCAAATGACCTTTTCTGCACAACACAAAGTTTCCTCACAAAGATATACATAAATATACTAGGGAGGAGCCATCTAGACATGAAAAGTCCATTACTGACTATATACTAGTGGAAAGAAAATTACTCCCCAGGGTGAGAGATGGGAGAGTCAAAAGAGGCCCAGAAATCGGTAGTGACCACTACCTTCTTGTAGTAAACATGAGTATGCCCAAACAACAGAAGCAAAGTAGAGGTCACAGAACAAAGAAGAATACCAAGGAGAAAATTAAAGTATTCCAACTGAGAAATAAAGATGTCCAGCAGGAATTTGCTAAAAAGATGGAAGAAGGAAGACAAAGCCTGGGCTTGGGCCAATGTACTGATGAGTTGGAAGAAGCATGGGCGAACTTTAAGGCAGTGATCCTGAGTGCAGCAGAAGTAGTTTGTGGGAAGGTGACATGCTACAGTGACAGGGGGAAAAAAACTAGATGGTAGATGCAGGTTTTGAGGGAAGAGGTGAAAAGGAAGAAATACCTTTGGAGAAGCTACCTGGGAGAGAAGAATCGGAAAACCTATGAAAGGTATAAGGTGCAGAGGAAGAAAGTAAAGGAAATGGTTGTGAAGGAGAAACAGAAAGCCTGGAGAGAATTTGGAGAATTTATGGAAGGCCACGCCTTCTAAACTGTTCTAAAAAGGTTTTGAAAAACATAAGGAATGAAAAAGAATGCCCTATAAAGTTTATAAAGGCTTAGGACAGGCAAATAATAAGTGAGCCGAAGCAAATACTGGAAAGATGGAGAGAATACTTTAGAGAGTTACTTGATAGGAATGACATGAGTGAAGAAATGGAAAATTGCCAGAAGATAAATGAGGATAGTGTGGAACTGCAGCAAGGAGAATACGACCCAATAGAAAAAGAGGAAATGTGGGATGCATTGGATACGATGAAGCTGGGAAAGGCAGCAGGTCATGATGGAATAACACCCGAGATGCTTAGATATATGGGAGAGGTAGGAGATGAATTACTCTTTAGGGTATTAGAATTGGCCTGGAAATGTAAGAAGATTCCAAAAGAGCGGGAAATCTTAATCATTGTCCCAATCTTCAAGAAAGGTGATACTCGAGAATGTGAGGCATTTCATTGCTGAGTGTCCCAGGTAAAATATACTCAGTATTTTAGAAAGAAGATTGAGGAACAAGGTAGAACACCAACTGGATAAGGAGCAGAGTGGCTTCCGACCAGGCAGGAGTACTCAAGATCACATCTTTGAGCTAAGCCAAATATGTGAGAAATTCATCGAGTACGATAAAGAGGCTTACCTGTGTTTTATAGACTTGAAGAACGCATTCGACAGGATACCTTGGAATGAGTTATGGGCTTCACTCCAGAATAAAAAAAGTGTCCGAGGCTCTTATACAGAGAATTAAATCATTCTATAAAACCTGCAGAAACTATGTTAGAGCTTCCCATCAAACATCTGCCGAATTTGTCACTACAATGGGAGTCAGGCAGGGAGCCCTCTATACTTTATCACCCTCATGGATGATATAATTAAGAAATGTAAGAGAAAAACAAAGGAGACACCACTTGGATATTGGAAATTGTAACCAGTCAACTGTTCATCGTTTGCATTTGCTGATGACATTTTGCTAATAGCTTACAGTAAAGAAAAGTTACAGACAAATTTAGATGTCTGGACAGAAGAGTTAGCAAAACAAAATATGGTCATTAGCACTTCCAAGACCAAGTGTATGCTGGTGTCCAGAAACAAGAAGAATTTTGGGATTTGCATTCATGAGGAGATGATACAGCAGGTTCCTACGTTCAAGTATTTGGGTGTGACGATCACTGAGAGCGGGAAGATCAGAGACAAAATTAATACGAGAGTTGTCACTTCAGGAAGGATGTTCTCTGCCATAAATAGGAAGTTTTCAAGCAAGAGAGAAGTGGCAAAAGATACAAAACTAGCAGTCTATCGCTCGATGTTCGTCTCTATCTTCACTTATGGAAGCGAATCCTGGGCCCAGAACCAAAGCTTCCAAATGAGGTATCTGGAAAGACCAAGAGAGACCGGATACGTAACACAACGATACAGACTATACTAAAAATTAAACCCCTCAACCAGATAATAGAGAAAGGGATGCTTCGATGGTTCGGTCATGTAAAGAGGATGGATGACCACCCTTCAGCAAAGAAAATGGAAAAAAATGGAGGCTAAACCAACAGGAAAACGACCTAGAGGAAGACCAAGAATTACTTGGGAAGATAATCTCAAGAATATTCTTAAAGATAGAGGAATTGGATGGCCGGGAGCCAGGAGAGCAGCCCTCGGCAGAGATGGATGGAAATCCTTGAACAAAAAACTCTGCACCGAAAGGTAGAAGAGAATATTAAATAAGAAGAAGACAATAATTTTACCAGAAACAGCGATTATTAAATTAACAGATAAGGAAGAAATTTTTAACCATACTAGAGATAATTATGTATATAAGGAGGTATTGTCTTCATTTCATGTAATTTCTGATTATAAACATTTCGATTTGACTTTTAATCAACTAAACATACCTACTTTCAGCAATGAAATATTTGATAGCTTTAATACTAATTATGAAGATAATTTTAATTATTATTTATTAATTTTAAATATTATTGTTTTATATCTTTTATTTAGTTAACTTTTATACAATGTATAAGTCCTCAAGTATTCTTAGTCAACAAAGGCAAGTGGATAGTACATCAAGTCGAAAGGAGGAACTTGTACTCCAGCCATCTTTATATTTGGTGAACTGTAAATTTTAAAATTTTATGTGTAGGTATGAAGAATTTATTATTTTATTTTTTAGATAGATAGATAGAAAATGAACTTTATTCTTGGACGAGGTTCCTTATGAATAACATTTATGAACAAAAAAATAAAAACCACATCTGGCCAAAAATTACATTAATCAACATTAAAGAATATATACAGTATCTTCAGTGAAAGTATATTAAAACAAATAAAAAGTAACACCATTTTGAAAAAAAACAAAACAAACATTATTTAAATGAAAAGAAAAACAGAAATCAGGTAAAATAAAAAACAAACTAATAAAAGCATGGGTTGATTTTTAAAATTAAAACTCGAACAATTTCAACAACCATTTAACTCATTCAAAATTTGTTTCACAATATTTATTTCATTGTAAAACATCATTTTGGGATGTGAGAAGGAATTGGTAGAGATGATATTTGAATGAGGACAGGAAGAGGCATGGCGGATATCAGATGGCAAGGAATTCCAGAAGGCAGTGGATCGGCCAATAAAGGAATATTCAAATGTCTTAGTTCTATGGGAAGGGATATAAAGATCAGAACCATGGGATCTTGTTTTCTGGGAGTGGACCACAGGTTTGAACTGTAGGGGACTGTAGATGTAGGAAGGGTGTCGGGTGTTGATTGTTTGGAATAGGAAAGACCCTAGGAAATATTGTCTGCAGAAAGAAAGGAAGAGCCACTTTAACTCATCGTAAAGGTGGGACACATACACCGCCTCGAAGTGCCGAAGATAAATCTTAAGCAGGAATTCATGAGTCGCTTCAATCTATCCTCGAGTACCATCGGGATGCCTCCGTGCACCACACAGCCGTAGTCAAAGTGGAGGAAAATAAGAAAGCATACAAAAAGCTTGTGGATGGGTTGTGGGAGTAGGTGGCAGGAGCGATGAAATAGCTTAAGGGTACCTATTGACTATTGGGAGATGGGGGCGATATGGGGTTTCCAGGAGAGGTTTTCGTTAATGGCGATTAGTAGGTTTTTGACGGAGGAGCTGAACAATGGGATGATCATTGATGACTAAAGGAGGAAGAAATCAGATGAATTCAAGAATAAAACTGGAACCTATAATAATGGCCTGAGTTTTCATTGCGTTTAGCTGTAAATTATTCAGACTTGCCCAGGCACTGATCCTATATAGGTCTGCCTGAATATTGGCGAACACAACTAATAGCTCAGAAGGGTAAAAGGATAAATAGATTTGGGAGTCATCAGCGTATAAATGGTGTGAACAGTGGTAGTTGGATTTGGGAAGATGATTTATATAGGAATTATAAAGGAGAGGAGAAATGCTCGAACCCTGGGCCACTCCAGCGGATAGTGTAAGGAAGGAAGATAGGTGTTGGTTCAGAATGCTGACTGCTTGAGTTCTGTCGGATAGGAAAGACTGCAACCAGAGGATAGAGCTGTTGGAGAAGGATAGAGATTTTAATTTAGTGTAGAGTATAGAGTGGTCTAAGGAGTCAAAAGCTTTGGAAAAGTCGAGAAGTATTAACACAGTTAACATTTTTTAGTCCATTGCAGTATGTAAGTCATTGGTAAATTTTAATAGGGCGGATTGTGTGGAGAAGCCAGGACGAAAACCAATTTGGAGAGGATCAAGTAGTTTTGATTTTTCAAGAAATGTAGAGATTTGGGATTGAGCTATTCTTTCCAGAGGTTTAGAAAGGTTAGAGAGAATGGAGATTGAGCGGTAGTCTGTAGGAGAAGTAGGATTGGGGATTTTGTTAATAGGTCTGACTAATGCTTTTTTCCAAGCAGTAGGAAAAACTGAGTTCTGGAGGGAAAAATTACAGATGAAAAGGAGAACAGGAAGGACTTCGGGAAGGCATAATTTTAACAGTTTTTATTATATTTAATTATTATATTATATATTGATTATACTTATATAATTTAAATAAATTTAAAATCAAGTGTGTCGAGTGAAGGTTAAAATTTTTAGAAATATTAAAAAAAATCTGGTGCGGTGCACATATCACACAACTTTTACTTACCACCCTCTTCTTAGCAGAAATAAGTATTTTCAAACAAAGTGAAGTGGAAGTAAAAATTATAGACTCTATATTTATTTTTTTTTCATGAACAGGCCTTAAAGACCACGCGAATACCATGAAGTTAATGCTTCCTCTTCATCTGCCTCCTCTTCTCCCATATGCCCCTCATGAGCTCCGCGTGCTTACGTTTTCTCTCCTCAGACCACGCAACACCCTTTTTGGAGCGCTTCTTGCCCGCAAGAACCGTTATTCTCTTGAGCGCCTTTCTGTACTCATCTCTGTCTAAACAATCTTGGTCTCTTAGCCCCACTTGGTCCATATCATCCTTAATCTGTTTAAAATACCCGCTTACATTCTTATGACTGTGGATGCGCTGAAAGATTTTATGGTTAAGTCTTTCAGGATTCATCCTTATCATATGGCCATAGAACCTCAGCCTTCCCACTCTAGCGTCAGTTTCTAGATCCGTTGTTTCCTAATATATTTCCCGATTTGACCTCAACCTGTATCCTTCAGGTGTTCTCCTAGGCCCGTAGATTCTTCTGAGAATTCTTCTTTCTATTTTCAGAAGGCTTTCTAGGCTGGGAAGACAAGAAGTTTCTGTTGCGTAGAGTACCATTGGCTTGACGACCGTGTTATAATGTCGTATTCTGGCTTTTAGAGAAAAGTTCTTCTTTTTATAAAGCTCACTGGTGGCGAAGCTTAATTTCTCTATTTTGGCGATTCTTTCCTTAAACCCTTCTCTCTCTGACCCATTGCTGCATATGATTTCTCCAAGGTATTTAAATCATATATTTATTTATATCTCAATGTGGGTATTTTTATTTGTGTAAGTACCCTCATATATACAAATTTTAATATTTATATCGCTGTAATCTATACAATTAAATATTAAATAATAGCAACAATAGCATTTATGAAAACCACATACGTATATTTATATAATATTGATGGAATCAGTATTATATTAATCTCATGATACGTATGGAGCGTGTTCTAATCTTTCGGGCGAGCTTGGGTGCGCTCGTATTCCTTTGGTTCCTCAATTACAACTATTCTCCGTTACGATCTCTTATTTCTCCTTTAGTTATTTATCAGATTCTTTCATATTTTATATCTAACCTTTTTTTATATTAGAAATTAATGTGAAATGGTCAATTGTTTCAAATAAAAAAAATTAAAGGTACTTTAGAGGAAGCTAATATTGAAAATTAGCCATTTAAGCCCTGTTAGAGAACATCAATCAGAATAATAACCACATTTTATTTAATAAAACTACTTAATGTTACACTGATATGATGAATTTAATCCAAATCGTTAGAGCATTTTTCTAGAAAATCGTAAAAATGTGTTTAGTGCATTATATAAAGTGCCACTTCCGGTTAGCCGATTTTGAAGGAAAAGTTGCTGTAACATCCCTAGCATATAAAAACCGTAAATATGCAATTTCACTTCCGTTCACACGCACACACACACGCACTCACGCACGCGCGCACGCACTCACGCACGCACGCACACACACACACACACGCGCGCTCACACACACACACACACACACACACACACTACTTTCTCTGAATGAAAATTACTTGAGATTAGGCCCCCCGGGCCACGA